CATTGCTGTTAGACCAGGTACCTTGCTGGAATCTCCTGCTCACCTTGACAGGCTTCTTGAACCTCCCTGCCGGGCATTCGAAGCGACACAGTCCTCCTGCCTGGACATCTGTTTGATCATGTCCACCCTGGACGTTGGACATTGAAGCAAATGAGCGTGAAAACACCAAATGGCCGTGAAACGCCCCCCATGGGCCGTGAAAATGCCCATATGGCCGTGAAAATGCCCATATGACCGTGAAAATGCCCATGAATATCACTGTGTTTGTCAAAACCTGTCCTGCTGCATTAAAAGCTGCCAGATCCGCAGCTTGTCTGCTTTATTGACGTGCGTGTTTGACTGACCAGATTCCGGCAGGCTCAAGACCAAAAAACACTAACGTATGTAAAACCACGTTTGGGCTGTGTTCTGTTGTGCTTCACATACCTAGCACACTTAGCCAGATTTCACACACAATAACTCTTTTTTGAGTCAAGGTCCCTACAAAAACGTGCGTTTGGACTGCTTAGCTGTGGTACGTCTTTTTTAAAGGTACCTGCCCGGCCTCCACAGCAACACAAGGGAACATGTAAATGACATGGTGCTCAAGGCTCAGGAGCACATGGGGAAAACATAGTCAGCAACAACACCAAGAACAGACCATGGTGCTTGAATGTTGTTTCATTCTATACAGGGTGTAACATGCTCGCTATATACTCTATTGTAGCATTGAACGGACGTACGTGCGCCAAAGACAAACACATCCCTGTAGGTACACACACATATCTAGACCCACAAACACACACTGCATGAGGCCTACTGAGGTCGGCTCCTGTTTCTTTTCCGTTTCATGCGACGGGGCCATGTTTTCATGGCCGTCCAAATCTCTTTCAGGCTGGGTCCGATCGATCCCTTCAAATTGGGCTGGCTTGTAGGGCAGCAACTGCAGCTTTGATAGTAGATGGCCACTTAACTGCTTCAACAATAATCCCCCAAAAAGGAATCGATGCGGAAACATGTCAGACCAAGCTCGCGCACTCCCTCTCCTGGCGCAGGGATCTGGTTTGATCGACATCCGGCAGTTCTGAAGGCAAGCTTGGGAGTTCAGCAAGTTAACTGATGTTAACTGGGAAGGTTTGCAATCATTTGTTTGGTCTTGCCTCCCAAGTCAAGATCAACCCCCTGTTATTCTTGGTTTGGACATCCAGGCTGGACACCTTCGAAGATCTACACCATGGCGAGCGATTTTCAGGGTACCCGCCTCCAACCTTTGCACTGATAGCTTTAGAGTGTGGTGTGATGCAACTGCGCTTCTTGAAGTCAGTGTTTCACGTTCTTTTTATCTGGCATCCATGGCAGCCATTTGGCAGAGGGGACTTTCTGGATCTTTTAGTTGTGAACCTATAGCTGGGCTATGGGAAGGCTTCTAAAGGTTTTCACGGATTGTCCAAATAGACACGTCGCCTTTGCACTTGCCTTTGAAGAAGACAAACATCTCAGAACTGTTTTCCAGCTGCACCATAAAAAAACAACACATGGAAACAAACGCATGTACGATGTGTGCAGTCATGGTTCAAGACCAACCCTGCCCTTGCACAGCCGAGGCTGGCCTCAACTTCTTGCACGACCACTCGGGAAAGTTGTTCACCAAGCAGTGCATCACCTTGCAAGATGTTGTGGCTAACAAGAAGGCTTGATGCGGGAATCCGTTTTCAGACATCAACACCTTTAAGGGGATGTGATTCAACACGTTTGAAGTATGCTGACCTGAATGTTCCAACCCTTCAGGCAATACTTGCTGTTTTTCGGGGATTGAAAAAGTGCCCTGGTCCACCGAGTCGCAACATGTGGAGACTGTCGGCCCATGAATTTTGCAAAAGCCTGTTGCTCTTCTTTGATACTGGTGAGCATTGGCCAAATGGCCTGCATAGCCAAATCCCAGCATGCAGTGATTGGGCTTTGAAGAATGGCAAGGCCTTGGTGAAGTTAGTTTCCAGGATTCTTAAGGAATGTTTTTGGGTTTTGTGAGCTCACCAGCATACCACTTTGAGAGTGTCTCTGGCTCCAATTACATGGACCCCATTTTCCATAAGGTTGGGCGAATGAGACGGCTTCTGACCCGGGCTAAATCGTCCAAGAAGAAGCAGCTAGAAGAGTTCCGCCAAGAAATCGCAGAGCTGGGTTTGCCAGAAGCTGCACTCCAACCAGACCCTTGAAAGATATTATATGAGTCTTTATTAAGTGCACAGATTCACACAGCTGACCAACCCTTCACAATACAACGTTACAACATGTGCTCCTAGGACTCTGGAGATGGCGACGTCGAGCCGGCCGATCCAGTGAACGAGGAGATCTCCCCGCTCCAGGACCATGCCTCCAAAGCTGAGATCAACGTGGCGGACCTGAGCCGCAAAGATCACAAGCTCATGAGGGTCATTGAGCAAGTGCGGAATGAGAGGGCTAGGAAAGGTTCAGGGGGTGCTTCCAGTTCAGTCTCAACCACTACCCCATCATCAGTGCAGGGCTCACAGGTCCCTAGCCCCACTTCATCGTCAGGAAGCAGGTCAGCTTCATTTGCGGATGTGGTAGCCAAACTCAAGAGTCTGCGTTTGTCTTCAGAGGGATCCGATGGTGGAGGTACTGGACTCAAGGAAAACTGTTCCAAGTCCGTTGATCAGAAGAGCTCTTCTTTGCATACCAACCGTTCTTTGCTGCCATCATTTGTTCCTTGCACTCATCATTCCTTCTAGATTTTCTATGGAGTGTTTTTAGAAAACCTCAGCCCACTTCCAAAAACTGTTTCTGCTGCGCCTCATTCAGGTTTTAACATCGCTGAAGGAGAAGGTGGAAGAGTCAAAGCAGAAACGTCCAGTTGTTTTTGCACAGTCCGCCCAGTACAAAAAAAATATGGGTGCTACTGAAGGTGTTAAGGGTGGTGATGGTGATGATGATGATGAGCCTGTCATCGTCACGGGCAGTGGGAGCGATGGTGCTGCTGCAGTGAAACTGTCCAAAAAAAACGCAAAGAAACCAAAGAAGAAGAACCGTGCAAAGGCTAAGGCTACAGTCTCACCAACCCCTTGTCCAAAGCCTAGTGAACCGACCCCTCGGGATCAAGCCGCCCCCGGGGAAGAACAGGTTGTAGATTCTGTAGTGTACAAAGCGGGTGAATTTTCTAAAATTCGTGACCAGTATGTGAAGGATTTTATTTGCTCTGCAAAGGAGGCTGGGACTGCTTCCTCCAGGCCCGAGGCCCTGGCAAGCTGGTCTGTTTCCCTGAAGCGGGCCCAATTGCTTTCAAGCCTGAGCTTGCCAGAGCTCAAGAAACGAAGATTTGTTCCAAAGGGTTGCACAGCAAATCCTTTTCTAGCTCGGGTCCAAGCCGTGACCCAAATTCAAGAGCAATAAACGATGTTGGGCCGGGTTTCTGAAAGGGAAAAACACGCACTGTTTTTTCAAGACTTCATATGTGGCTGTGCACCGTGTCCCGTCGCTATGTGTGAAGATGGTGGTAAGAAGTCATCGGTTTTTCTGATTCTGTGAAACACATAGATCTGTTTGTGTCCAAAGATGCTGTGAAGCCTTTTGGTTTCTAGATTCTAGACTTTGTGCGTGCTCTTTGACCAACGCGATGGTTGTGCTTGAGCTTTTGCGTTGGAAAGTGCCGCCCAAAATGATTGTGGTGGTGCTTCTACTTCTTTGGCATCCAAAGATTTCCACCCATCAGGACAGAATTTAGAAATACAAATACGTGTCACGTTGAACAATTTTGGGCACACTATTTCATCAACTGGTGAATATGAAAGGGCCGCCCCAAAGATCGGAGGACCTGGACTTCACCGAGATCTTTGCTGGCGGTGGAGCAGTTACCCGGGGATGCTGGAATGCCCCTTACCAACACTTAAGTTTGTAAAACCTTTTGGGGGCATGTGGCCTGGATCGTGGACCAAGAAAAGAAACCCAACGTAGAACTTCAAGGGTACCTGAACTTCAATGATCCATCACTGGGAGCATCCCTCAGGCTCCCTGACCAGCTTTTGCCCAGGTAGGCCTGGCTGGAACGGCTTTGGACACCGAGTTTGATGCTGAAGCCATGGATTTGTGCTCGGCGGGAGGATTTGCGTGTTTGGGTGGCAATCTGAAAGAATCAAACGCCTTTGTTGAAGATAGCTCATGTTCTAAACATCAACTCCAACAGTGACGTTTCATGGTACCATTTTGGGTCAATAGTTTGAGGCTTGCAGTGGCGCAAGTCCTTCGGTGCAAAACTGGTGGCTTTGTGCTGTTGGCCTTGGTATGCCGGAGCTTCTCTGTTATGCAGCTAGGCTAGGCTTATCTACTGATCACAAATTTGTGGTGGAAGGTCTGCTTAGTTTTGTTGGTACACTGGAGTATTTGAATGCTGCCAAGGTCTCGGTATACTTCGGGGCGGTCATATTTGACTCCGGAGGGGACTGACCGCCCCTTTGTTCGTGAAGGAAACCATTTGTCTGCCCGTGTAGTGTGTCTCATTCACCTGGCCTGCGCGCGCGGTCTCCGGTATCTCCTGGAGCAGCCAAGTGGAACGATCTTGGAGCACATGCCTTGGATGCAAAAGCTCTGGGGACTAACCCAGGCAGTGGCAGGGTGTTCACCAATAATAAAACAAATGCATACTTTCATTTACGCCCGTTTTGTTTACAATATATATATATATGGCCATTATATAGCCATCCATGTACATAGATATTATATATACAGGCTCCAATGAACAGCTAGATACATATAGCCAGAATAGATCTAAATCTACATACACCTGCGGGATATAGTGTGTGGAAGTCTGCCTTTGGAAACGGCCTTTTCACCCTTGCACCAGGCATATCGCACCATCTTTTGGATGGGAAATTTCGGGCACCCTGCTCCGAAGAAACATATTACATGGAGCAATGATGAAGGGTTGCTATCCCTGATCCACCATCGCGCTGGCTACATGGCCAGGCATGATCAAGAACAGAAAACACAGAAACTAGTGCGGTCATATGTGGACCAGAACGGAAAGAGACGCTGCGTCGGCCTGAAAAAACCGCTCAAGGAAAGCCAGAATCTCTTCTTGAACTCAACATGTTTCTGTTTGGTGTGTATTCTTGTGGTAATTTGGGGGCTTCATGCTGCGTGGCCTGGAATGTAACCCTAGGAGATATCCAGAACCTTTTGGGGCTTGGCTGGCGTACGTTCTTCAAGACCGTTTTGAGGCCAGGCATGGCATGTATGTAGTTTTCACAAACCCTTTGGATCGTGCAACCACTTGCGCCCTGCCCTGGAGCTTCCCGGCCGTCCCATCGTGAAATTGAGGTGCCACTGCCTGGACCAAAGCAGACCGTGGATTTGATGCACACCAGGTTCAGCGACGCTGAAATCTTCTTGGAGCACTGCACAACGGATGTGATGGGGGCTGATGGTGTCCCAAACATGGTGATCTCTGGCGACCCGTGCGCAGAGGTATCTTGCCTGTTGGTGTTTGTGTAAATTCTGCATGGGTAGTACCACCAATCAAGTGGGGTACTTGTGGATTGCAATGCCTAAGTCTTGAACTGTTCCACGAAGCCAGCCTCCAAATGTCCAGGGGTTTTCACACAGAGCCAAGGCAGAGTTGGATGCTGTCATCAAGTATTTGCTCAAGAGCTCCCAGATTACCTATTCGGGGTCTTGGGTTGGGGGCTGAGCTACCCGCAACCATGCAGAGACTGCAACCGGCAAGCTGGTGGTTAGTGTAACCAGGGCTGCTGCCCAGCCATCTCAAAACAGGTCTATCAACGATCCAATAGGTTTCTGTTAAACATGATCTAGGCGGTTGAACTTCAGACCCAAATCGAAACAAATTATGTGCGTACGTATCTCACTGGTAAAGTGATAAACGGCCATATAGAGTAGAAATAGAGCACCCCATTGTTAGAGCATCTCATTCCTCCCGGAAAAATGAAGTGAACTTCACACATCAGCCGGCCCAGTTTGACATCTTCAAGAGCTTGTTCCCGGACGCAAAGAGGCCAGCCACTTGAGTTGCTGTGTGATGTGAAATATGGATGTTTTTGATGTTTGGTGACCCCATGTCCTCACCCACTGGAGAAACATGGAGTTTTAAATGTTTGGAACTTCCCACATACGAAGGTGGAATTTGCACATCTGGCCACACATCCACAGATCCCGTGCCCGTGCAGGCTACAGCAGCCTCTGATGTGAAATTTGGTGCGATGTGGCCTTGGACGCGGGGAAGCGTTCGATTGGTGGCAAAAGGAATGCACTGGCCCTTACAGAAGTTGACCGTGAAAAAAGCGTGAAATGACCGTGAAAAACCCAGTCTTGACCGTGATAACCCCGTGTAAAACGTGAAAATAATATATCCAGAAAATCTTGTCCCTCACTAGCTGTTGATATGTTTTCACGGTCATTTCTCGGGTTGTTTGCTGTTCACTGCTTGTTTGTGCGCTGTTTCGTTTGAAAGAGTACAGTATGTATAACATGCATATCTCAATAATACTGGCAGCTCTTTTGGTCTAAGAGTACGTGTGTTTCGGGCTTAGCCGGTGAACGCGATGGCTAAGTGTCCTAAGACGGAGGCACTTAGCTCGGACATGATGGAGGGATGTTTGGGGTTGCTGAACCAACTGAAGGGTGCTGCAGGTGGGGGTCCGGCCGCGCCAGAGGAAGCTGCACCCCAACCCAAAAAGACACCTAGACCGAAGAAGGGTGCTGCTAAGCCCAAGGCAGCACCTGCACCTACTGAGCCACTGCCAAAAACTTTGCCCAAGAAAAGGAAGGGACAGGCGCCTTCCGATGCGGAATCTGTACCATCCACTGCAATTGACCCGAGCAAGGCAGCAAAGACAGGTGATTTGGATGGTGCGGAGGTGGATGCGATGCCTAACTACACATGGGATGATTTGAGTGAGGTGATGAGGGATTTTGATGCTACGGAAGAGGAGGCTAGGAAGGTCCTTCTGGAGCTGTGTGGCCCTGAGCCAAAAACTGCTGATGGGGATAAGAAGGGTCACAAGAGGCTGCGTCCCCTCGTAGAAGAGCCCGCCCGCGCAGCTCCTGCTGTGCCACCCAAACGTGTTCGAGGAAAGTCTGCTGATGAGGCGGGCCCCACATAAAAACATCCCGGGGGGGTATAGTACGTGTGCCAAAAAAATATGAAACATATCAACGTGACTGGTTTAAATGGATTTGTTTAGGGAGTACTCGCATTTTCTTAAACACACAGTCTTTTCCTAAAGTGCCTCCTCCCTGAGGCCTCTGCTGAAGCAAAGAAGTCTGCGCTGATTGAAGAGACCCCTGAGGAACATTCCCAGGCTCTTTTGAGGAGTCAGTCTTCGCGATCACTGGGGTGTCTTGTTTGTACCTGTTGGGGTTGTAAGGGTTGTCCAATTGCCCAGCGCCCAACACCAAAAAGGTACAACTGTTGCTGGGCCATCTCTCTTCACGTGCAAGAGTTCCTAGGTCATGCACAACCCTGGTGTTGGGGCAACAGCTTGTCGAGAAGCAGTTGCGCACGAAACAGCTGAAGCCCGGACAGGCTGCCACTGATGGCGAGGAGGTTCCTGCACCAGAACCTGTGCCAACTGGTCGAGAGAGTGAGTTTCCAGGCTCTATGAGACAGGAGGTCAACCCGTGTCCTTGTTGGTCCTTAAGGCCTTAAGGAAAATACTGGGTCCTTGTTACACCACAGAACCATTGATAGACTAAGATTGGTCAAGGGCGCACCTACTAAGTATCCTTAAGTAAGGTAGTTCTTGGGGCAAGAATGATTGCAAGATTCTGTTTTGTTTTCCTTTGCTATTTGAATTTGAGGCTTGGTCCCAGTGCTTCGCAAGCTGGTATGGAGGAACTCCAGGCCAAGATTTTGCAGTTGGAGGCTGCCAATGCTCGCTTGGAGGAAGAGAAATCAGCACGCCTTCAGATGGCATTGCATGCACCTCCGCACATGAAGGGGAAGATCGCTGCGGCACCGCTACCGCCACAGGACGTTGCTGTCCCTGTCCCTCCGAAGTCTGGCGCACCAGGAGATCCTGATGAGCCCGCTGATGGTGGATATGTGGGCTATTTCATGGAGGGTGAAGAGGAGGAGGAGGGAGATGATGACCCAGAGGTGGTTCCACCACCACCCAAACCTGTGGCGAAGGAGGAACCACCCAGCACCGTTGCCAAGATCAATTCCTCGACGCACCGAAAGGAGTACATGCGGCTGAGTCGCATGATGAACAGCCGCCAGGATCTACCAGCCATGTCTGGCCTATGGAATGGGACTCCAGCGGAAGCTTAGATCTGCCAAATGTTTCTTTTCCTGTTGTCTCTTTAACTCCTCCGGTTTTGGTTTTAGTATGGTGACCTATACAACCAGAATGTGAGGACCGGAACAAGCTCTTGGAGCAATGGATCAACAACAATGAGAATCCCACAGCATGCGAGGCAGCCGTGGTCCTCAGCCGGGAGGAGATGCAGCGGCTCCATGCTGGGAAAACACTCATGACGATCCAAGACATGGTGGACGCCAAGTTCAGTCCGTTTCCCAACTTAGCTTGTGTGCATTTTTTGTTTTGCTATTTCTGCTGTGGGATTGGGGGTGTTTGATTTCACCAAGATTCCTCAATCCCAGGTTGAAGATTGAGAGCATCATTCGGCGGGGTCAGGGGCTGAAAGATCCTGATGCGCCGGCGGACCCGGCCAGTGTTCAGTTCTGGGTGACTGACAAGATGAAGTTGGAGAACACAACCACCCTGACTCAAAGCCATCACCTCCAGCTTCGTGGCAACGCTGGTGCAGGGTTCTTGGGTAACCTTACATCGGGGATCTCAGTTGGGCGCGAACGCTCCGCAGATCTGGCTGCGCTTGGAGGCGCTGAGCAGTTGATGGAAATGTCAAAAGAGATGCAATCGCAAGGACAGCTGTTTCTGCGCATCTCAAAAAGGTTCTTGGCCTCATGACTTGATAATGTTTCCAAGTTTGATATCCATTGCTTTGGGTAGGATCGGCTGGTGGCTCTTCGGTGGCGGCAAAAAGCAAACCGAAGGCAAAGCCTAAGGCAAAAGGTAAGGTGCAGCAGCAGGAACAGCAAACCACAGCGGAGATGAGGGACAATACGCGTAACTAGCCATGATCTTGTTTGGCGATGTTTTCTTATAGGTGGACTACACCATCACTCTTTTTGGGGGCTGAGGCAACCAGTTGAAGCGAGAGTTGAACGCTGCCAACATGGTCATCCTCGACTTGCCGGCTCAAAATGGTTTGCGTGGTCAGCTAGAAGATTTCAAGACCCAGTATGAGGACATCTTGGACAAGTAACTTGGCTGTGCCTCTCAGGGTTCCTTTATTTATTTTGGGTGAACTTGAGGCTCATCAATGCCACTGATCCTGGAGAGATCAGCGATCTAAATGCCAAAGCATCTACTGCCGCACCTTGACCAAATCTCTAAACATCTTGAACAGAAATGGTGTTTCTTAAGTGGTCACGCTTTAGTCCTGGTTGGCTTTCAAGGTTGAAGCCGCTCGTTTGGTGAAAGCCCAAGCACGTGCAGTTGTCTCAGAGCTACGCAAAGCCGAAAAGGCAGAGCGTAGCAGCAAGTGATCCCTGTGTACCAGGCAATCGTTCTGGCTGAAGGTGCTGGTGGGTCTCGCTTATATGACTTATACCTCTCAGTCCGTGTTTTACTGTTCATGTTTGTTTTTCTTAGCCACTACAAATTGTAGCACTGGAATCACCACCGCTTTGGGATCAATGATGAGTGGACTGACACTCTAAATTTTGTTTCAACGATGAAAGGGGTAACAATTTCAAGTTCAGCGTGATCGCTGTGCAGAAAGAGAAAAAACAAGATTCGATTTCCTGGATGGAAGAAACCCTATTCAGCACACGCATGGATCAGGAATAGTGTCCAACAAAAACTCTTTCCACCGCAGGTCGAGGAAGTCAATCGTTTAGGGATCGCCTGGACGATGTGCTGCTTGCCCCAATTAGTGTGTACCTGTGGCTTGTTAGCCCTGCTTCTCCTGTTCATAAACGATCCTACAAACCGCAAAGCTACAACAAAGCCAAGATTGATGCGTGGCATTGGCTCTGGGGCAGCCTCACTCCAATTTGCACGAGATCTAGCCGAAGTTTACGGGAGTGAAGTGATCAGGAAGCTTGGCCCTGGTTCTTTGTGGGGGGTTGCGCCGTTCCAGCAGGCCTCGCCTCTTCCAAGAAAGGCTCACGCCGTCATGGCATGAAGGACGCCCGAGAGGAAGGAGTGTAACAAGGTATATCCAGTACCATATACACAATCAGTGTTTTCACACCGTGTTTACCAAGGAATGCTCGAGAACAGCATTTTTATGGAGGTGCCCAAAAGCGTGCCGCGTGTTTGGATTGCGAGCTTGACTTCATCACTTTGCCTCTAGTCTCTGGTGAAGATGATAACGGAGATCCAATCATTGCACTGGAACAATGGCCCTTTTTGTCACCGCACAAATTTGTGTCTTGTATGTCTGAACAGTTTTGTTCTTTAAGAATGCAGGCACTGTAGAAGACTTCCCATCAATAAGTGCACAAACAAAATAGTGATAGCGTTCTTGGGAATGTTGGGGGCGCTCAGGTCCAAGCAATGGTTGATGCAGGATACTTAGACATCTTGGTGGACTTTGCTGACCATAGGTCCTATTGGGAAAACATGATGAAAGAGTACCCGGACCACCCCTTGAAAAAATGATGCAGCTCGCCAATCCAATTCTTTTGGTGCTACTTTGTATGGCAACTTGGATCCTTAAGGGTGTACATGTTTTGCAGCACTTATGGTTCCTCTATAGACTATATATAGGTCTTATAGGTACCGGGCTTCGCTGCATCAACGCCCTGAGGTGACGAGGCGTCAGTGAACAACGAATCGTTCCTACACCTGACATGGTGCAGTGATCACACTTTGTACACTGGGAATTCATTGGCATCCAGGAACATTTTGATTATCATACCCAGCAGCCGTTATGTGCACGACGCGTCAGGAAGGAACTTGACGATTCAAGCTGCTTGCGAAGCCATCGTTCGGTCTTTCAATCAGCTGTCCCAAGAAGGAGTGACGGTGAAAGATCCTATCTCGAAAGAAGTTGCCACTTAACAAAAAGTTTGGTTGAATGTTCTTTTCAAAAAAATAGGAGATGGCTGATTGATGCTGATTGAACCGCGCGCGCGGAGTGCACTTAGGTTTCTCGCCACTATTGGTATTGTATGGGCTTCCGTGGTGATTGGAAAGCTCAGAAACAACTGCTGTGTTTTAACCGGGATCCGTCCAAAAAATGAGGTGGGACTGGGTTCAACCAAAGAGTGGCAGTAAGGTTTCAAAAAAAAAATTGTTTAAACTTGTTTGTGATCTTCTGTTCATGAGCTTTCCAATTACCGTGCAGGTCTGTTGGATGTGTGGCGCAACCAAAGGGAACCGTGGAGACCCAGCAGATCTCCATATGGCATACACCAACACTGGTTGCCATTGGCGCTCTACCCTGTATCAAGATCAGCCCTTTGATGCACCAGCTCCTGCTCTTACTCGACTGGAGGGGTTTACTACCCGCATGGTCCATCCTGACATCCTCCACGTATGGCATCTAGGTACTGGAAGAGATCTGCTGGGGTCTGCGCTGGTTGTGCTAGTGAAGCATCGCTATTTTCCCGGTCGCACCATTGCCCGGAGATTAGCTGCTGCCTCCCGATCTCTATGTGCCTACGCAAAAGCCCACAAGCTGTACTTAGCAAGGAGAAGTCTGACAAAGAAGAGTTTGAATTGGGAGTCGGGCCAGTTCCCTGAACTTCGAACAAAGGGATATGACACATATATCATCGGGCGCTGGCTGGCTTCTGAATTGGAGGCTAATGACCCTGGTATGCCAGATCTTTGCACCGCAGTGTGGACTTCAAACAACTGTCTTTCAGTGATGGCCAACTCGAAGGGTTACTTCCTCACACCAATGGAGCAAGAACAAATTATCCTTTTGGGGTCTCTTTTTTTGTGACACGTACCTGCGTTTGGCGCACAATTCGATTTTGAATGGAAATCGGCTGTGGCGAATACGCCCAAAGTACCATTTGGTTCAACACCTGTTCATGGTGGCCAAAGTTTCACGGCTGAACATGCACAAATACAGCACATGGATAGACGAGGACGGGAACAAGAAATTTATGCGCATCAATCGTGCCACGCACCGGCGTACTGCAGCCATACGAGTGCTGCAAAGATGGCTGCTCGGGTTGCCGCAAACGTTTGCGAAACTAGCTAAATGAAAGGTGCCAACGCTTGCTTTGGGCGGGTGGGTGGGACTCCTCACACAAGATGTTTTTTTGTAAGCGCTATTATATTAACCCATCTTAGTAGTCATATGACTACTAGGGTGGGTTAAGTGGGTTTAGGATGATATATAAACTATAGGCTCAAGATCACATTCCCAGCCAGCTATCCAGCCAGCGCCCGTGAAAACCATATGGCCGTGAAAAGCCTGTTTGGCTACTTCCTTTGCTTTTAGTGATCGTGAGGAGTATGGCCTCTTAAATTGTGATCGAACGGTTCTCCAGGTGGTTACTCCAATCAAGCTCCCACCTCTCCCGTGTCGCTCCGATCCCTGAACGACAGCCCTTGGTGTTTTTGGGGTTCGCGGACACCGCCGAGGGACCAACCCATCGCAGCTGTTGAGGACATTTCGTCACCATGTGCGAAGAAGACCTTCGCTCCATGTGCGACAGGATCGATTTGAACTCATCGGCACATCTCGATCGACCCTGAAGAGAAGCATCGATCGATCTCTCCAGCTTCCACACTTCGACCTTGTGCCACCATCCGCGGTGGCACCGCGCCCATGCCGCGGTGGCGCCGCAGAACGGTGACACCCGGGCTGATCGCCGGTGCTGCCCTGGGTCTGCTGCTGTACCACCGAGCTGATGCGTCCGCCTTCGCGCTGTGGTCCGGATCGGTGCGGCGGTGGCACGCGGCGCAGGCGAGCGCCTCGGTGCACGCGATGACGATGGAGGTGCTCTTGAAAATGGATGAGGAGTCTTGGAGATATGACATGCATTGGCACACATTTTTGGTGTTATTTTTCTTTTTGGCGCAGGCGAAGCATGGAAACACACGACGTGTATCACAAGGGTGACCACTTTGGACTTGGTTGAGTAGTGTTTTCTTTTTTTGTGCCCGTTTCTTTCTTTCCAATGACTCTAAACATGCGATGAATCTGCCGAACCCTTTCATCGTCTTTCAAACCCTGAAGCATTATCTATCGATGCACTGTTGCAAAGGACACTTTCCAACCCTCTCCCATGTCTTTTGGATGATTTACTCCCCTGGATTCCTTGCACCTCCGCATACCTCCGCCGCCCTCGCCGCGGGCTCGCCTCCCCCAAGTGTCCAGGAGGGGAGGTCCGACACTCCGCGGCGCCGCCTGGCGGACTTCCAGTTGGGCGAGGACGCTCCGGCGAAGACGCGAGGTGTGGGGGCGAAGTTCTCCAGGTGTGAGGGGATGTGAGGGGCGTGACATTGGGAGGGTGGGAGGCATTCCGAGTGTTCCAAAGATTGAGATTCAGTGTCGCCCTCAGCAGGTAGCTGCACCAGTCACCACTCACATGTCGCCCTATACGCACAAGTGGTCGGGGTTGGAGGTTTGGGTTGTGTGACCTTTCGCTGATGGTTTTGGTTCACAATTAACGGTGGGGTGATGTCTTCTTGTTGCGGGGCTTTCTTTGCTGACTTACCTGCTTTCATTTAGTTCTTGCTTAGAAGTAACTACACTCTTCTCAGAACGAAACAAAGAACCTGATTTGCTAAGCAATATCAATCCTACCACCATGACCACCATGACCACCATGACCACGTGTCCGCTGTCTCGATCGGATGCATGGGAAACCCATGGGGAGAGATCGACTTGGTCCGACGCGGTGAGACTGCAGGACTTGGTCGACGCGGTGGTGACCCGCGACACGCCCAGCGCAGTCCACTTGGAGATCGGCGCAGAGCCTCGGAGCGCAGAAGCCGGAGCGAAGGTATGAGCCGGAGCATGGGTTGAGGAGTCCATTGGGAATAGGGGGAGTAGAGACAGCTCAGTAGAGCGCTCATGACTTCTGAGACTTACGGGATCTAAATGGCATCTAGGGATATCTAGGGCAGGATCTATGGCAGGTATAGGGTCTAGGGCAGGACTAATGGCAGGTATAGAGTACTTGTCACTCAAGAGTGCCAGGTTTTGTGGCATTTGCTTGGCTGAGGGTGAACATGAGTGTGTCCCAGCTTGATTGTGCCACACTGCAGGGTTGAAAGACCAACAGGGCCCCCGAACCCTAAACCATGCCAAACTCCACGGATTGGGTCTGCCACGGCGAGAAGCCAAAGCGAATCCTTGAGCGTCCCAAGCGAACGAGCGTCCTTCAGCGAACGAGCGAGCTTGGGGCACAAAGCATGTTTGGTAGGAGAAGCCAGATGGGCTGGAGGCCGCGATGAACGGCACTTGTCATCGATCCTAAGGCTGTGGACGGGATCCTTGAGAAGGGTGAGACGATCGGACTGGCAGATCCGCTGGCCAGTTATTGGCCCGGGCAAAGGCTCAACGTCACGGTGATTAAGAAGCTGAGCTGCTACTTGTGCTGTCAACTTGTTGCTTGTTTGTTCGTTTTTGATGGGTAGTAAGCTCAATCCAGTAGGAAGTCAGTCTGGACAGGTGAACGTCAAATACCATTCGGTCTGGACAGACGGGCCACGGGCTGCCCAATTCATGTTCCATCCATTTTTCTTTAATAGTTTGCTGAACACCGTGTTCGTAATTCTTCGTCAATGCGTTGTAGACTTCTGGAAGGGCGCACAGGCTCCGTTCGATCAGAACCACTCCCGGTACCGGGTGTTGTCAACGAAGACGGGTTCCCAGCGTCACATGACCGGTGACCCGGTGGTGTGCCCATTCGGTAACCGGGCGTTTGAAGAACGGTTCCCAGTAAGGAAGGCCAAGCACCACGTTTGGGTGCGACTGCAGCGCTATGACGCTACCAGGCAGGCAGCAAAACGTCTTTTTGGTCGTCCTTAGAGACCTTTTCCAGGTGACGTACGCCACCTGTGTGGTATTTCGGAAAATGCTCCTTTTGGGGCCATCCATGCCATCCACAATAGATGGTTACATGATTGGCCAGCGAGTGTACCGGGCAACCAACCTTGGAACCAGAATCATGGCCATTGTCCAACACCCATCCGTTCCCGATCCTTTGCGACCGACCCCCCTTTGAATTGCTTGCGCGTAGAAGCCGTGTTGATGTTTTTGTTTGTTTACTGTAATAAATTTAAATGCTCCGGAGGCCTGTTTGCCTTCAAAAAAGGTTCGATTTCGGAGACTCTGCCGCCGCGGCAAAGGGGATGGAACCTGCTCAGGTGCCACAGCTGCTTCCAGCCACTCGAGGGCCTCTTGAAGTTGATGGGTATGTCGGGACAATTGTAATTAGTTGTTTTCGATATTTCATCGGAGCGATTTTGATATCAAACTTGATGTAGACGCTTGATTAATAAGCCCCTCCTTTGAAGAGGATTTTCAATTCAAATCGGGGGTGTAACAATCAAGAGTCTACATTACTTGAAATTGGATATTCTTTTCCCAAAGGTGTCATCCCTGATTCAAGAATCCAGACGCGCAGACGCGGGCTCATGTAGGCCAGCAGTTGAAAACCTGAGAGCGCAGGCGATGAAGCATTGAACTTTCTTTTTCTGGATCCAACGGTAGCTTAGATAGCTTGGAGGAGACCTCTTGGAGGTGCTGGTAGTTGAACTCGCCCCTTGTTGCCACTCCAAGATACACCACATGTTCCACATCAGTGAGGCCCTGGAAGTAGATGAAGTAGACGCGACTCGTCTTTGGGTGTGGCGCACCAACGACTGGTACCGAAACCAACATCTCAACCGACTGAGGTCACCCGGCTCCCGGCTCGCGCCATGAGCTTCGTTGTCAATGCGTCAACATCGGCCGGCACGTGCCGCCCTTCTTCGAGGATGCAGGGCATCGCTACCACGGCATCGTGGGGCCCGTGCCGTTGGAGGTGCAAGAGAAGATGCAGAAGCTGATTGAGAAGGGAAATCAGTATTGGGAGACTTGGATCTCCAGTTGACTGGGTGAGGGATATGTTTATTTTTCCTGAAGATCGATGGAAGACATTTTCAACAGGCCTGGTCACCTGTAAGCACTGAGTTCATGCCTTCTTGTTCCTAAGTACCGCAGGTACTTTGTACTTGTTGGGACATTTTTGTTGACCTGGTGTGGAGAGACTTGACTTGTTCTGCCTTCGAAGCAGCATCAAAAAGACAACGTTTGACTCGTCTGGAGACACATGGAGCACCATCATGTGCGCCAGGAGGGTGACAGGTGGATCAACAACTTGCCATCACAGATCTTACCAACATACTACTCTTATTGCAAAGAGTGTTTGACTGCCCCCAAACGATTTGCCCCCAAACGGATAGCGGGACTTCATGTGGTTGTCCAGTCATCGAACTTGATCGAACTAATAAATTGAATGTCAATTTGATACTTCCCGATGCCCCACAGACCGAGCGGGTGCTATTTTTCAATCATCACCTCAATCCATCCCAGCTACCAGCATTTATCTGGCCTACCATGCGGCAAATTGGATCGACCGCCAAGCGTCTCGGCCCGGTGATGGGAAGATGGAGGACTTCTCGTGAATTTTGCAGCTTCTTTGGACAGACTCGGCTCCACCCAGCGCACCAGACGCTCGCCGGCTCACTTCTCCACATCGGCCGTGGATCCGGTCCGATCCGATGAAGCGAAGCTGAGGATACCTGGACAGATAAGTCCTCGCGGCCCACGCACAAGGGACGACTGCATGGGGTGGGTTTGCAGCTGAGTCGAAACATCACCTTCCCTGGCACTGAGCAGCTGCAGGAGCAGTGCAACGAGGACGCCTGGGGGTACAAATCGGACACGGCGAAGCACGATTCATGAAATCGGCATGGTACTGGAGTCACATGTCGTGGCATGTAGTTCCCAACCTCTGACCACCTCTTGTAGTCCAACTAATCTTCCAACAAGCCGCAATTCCTCTTTCTCTCTTTACAGACCTCTGCAGTTCCAAGTCGTGGTCAAAAAGATCGGCGTGCCCAGAACATCCACTTCAGACGTCAGGGACGTGCCCAACCATTCCGAAACCTGAACTCCTGGAGCGGCGCGTCCGAAAGCTGCTCGGTGTTCCAGGTCTTGCGTGAGATGTTGGGCACCTCCATGGTCCAACTCCTCCGAAACGCTTCCAACGCCGACGTCTGGCGTTCCTTCCGCTGGTACACGCCCCCGTCGCTCCCGGCCGCGCAACCCGGCGTGGCGGAGCGCGACGGGGAGGGCGGCACCGTGCAGAGCTACATCGGCCAAGGCGAGTGGAAGAGTCTGGATGTAGAAGCGGTAGGAGTGGATTTTTAGGTGGATTGCAGTCGTCTTGCCTGATACAAAGAATGACTTGGAGCATCCCCTCTGCTGGACCGCACAGACTTGCCCAATGCAATTCACCTGCTGCGAATTCCATGGCAATTCACCCGTTTTGTTGCATGCAATGGTGTCCTCTGGTGCCTTTGCCAGGTTACATGGCCGTGTTGAACAACTGCAGCGAGGCCCATGGCCCTCCGGTTCCTGTGGCGAAGCTGCTGGGTGTTCCTTCCTGCAAGGACACCTGCCCGACGTGCAGGTCGCAGGGATGTCAGGCAGGTTGTGCTGTTGATGCCCTGATGGATAGTTTTCCAGCAAACGTGTGCGGGCTATACTCTGCCAGATCAATCCATGATCATTTCGTGAACTCTTAACACATCTTGAACTTGGTCCCAAAATAGGCAGCTGCGGTGACAAGAGGGCCATCCAAACATGAGTGTGGATAGACTTTGTTTGGTGACCAGTTGCACTGCTGTGAACCCAAACAAGCAGCTGGAGAAACATGTCGATCGTCAATCATACTTCACCTGCCTGTCCCAGGCATGCAGTGAATGCTGTGTGCATGTGGACAATGACCAATCAGTGCCCGGGCTGACATGATCGGCAAACGGCTTGAACCCGGCAGAGTTCGATGTTCGTCCCCCCAAACAGGAGTGGGCAGACAAGGAGACTGGCCATGCATTTGTTGGGGTTCATGCACCATACTCTCCCTGGAGCTAACATGGTTACGTGGAGTTGACCACCTGTTGGTCACATGGAACATGGTCTTCCGAACTCGAGGCCATGCCATCCATTTCGACCATGCGGTCGTTCCAGGGAGTGTATGGTTCATCCGTTTTGAAGCCGGACAGGCGAGATCCACACAGCTCCTTCGTTCCTTCAAGCGAGAGCGTTTGACGGTGCGAAGAGGAGCAAAAAAACACATCGTTCCTGCCAGGCCTCCGTTCTCTTGGGCATCCAGGAGGAGTGGCGAGTGATGTCTACCAGCAAGGTCCATGGCGAGTGATGTCTCTCCTGGCCGGCCCTTTTTTTTCAATCAAAGAGGAACAGGCTACAGTGACACTGTGGGTCAGAAGCTGGGGAATGTGTAAACACCACGGAACATGAACAGAATAGACTACCAGCAAGGTCAACTTATCATGCATTTAGGGTTCTTTGTTTTGACCCACAGCAAGATCATTCCAAGAGTTCCACCAAAGAACATTCCACCACCCCTATTGGAGACTGATGCAGTGCCCCCACAAAAAAACAAGAAAAAGAAAGGCGAGAAGACAAGCAAGTGACACCTGGAGGAGAATCCTTTGATCGACGAGATGGCCTTCTTTGTGATGGGCAACAAAGCATTTCCACTGGCTGGTGGCCGGTCCTTCTTCTTCGATGGGAAGGTGGTCCCGCACGGCGTTTGGCGGCCCCAAAGAGGGCACTACAAAGGAATGGCCTTTGTGAGAAAAGTTCCTTATCGACGAGAGAAGAGAAGGAAATCGTAGTCCTTATGGAAGACTTCCTGCTCTCTCCCTAAGTAAACTTCGACAGCGAGAGGCTGCAGGTGTGATATCACATACAGAACTACCATGATGTTGTATGGCCTGCCATGCTGAAAACCAAGCGATCTGGGAGCGGAGCAGAAAATCTTTCTTGTCAGGCACCTTCAGATTTCTTTCCTTCAGGGTCCTCTCAGGACCCTACCAAGGGGTCTTGAGGCCCCTTGTCATTCATTCGACGTTCCCATGAAGCGTGGTTCGGGGCAAAAGCACCCTGGACGGCTGCACGCAGAAGAAAATCAGGTGGGCCAGCGGGACCTTGGGGGTCAAAACTGCGGGTACCCCAAATGAACGTCTACAAATAGACCGAGACTAGTGACTAGTGGAGCAGGGCAGGTACCGCTTGGGCACCTGTCCTGCACAGGTTACACCATTCTTTTCATTGATGCATATGATTGCATTGATCTCGTACCATCCGACTCATGCCATAACCATCCGACTCATCCCCACAGCTTAGTTTTCAGCTGCAGCTGCCTTAAAACACTGGACAAACATAAGTCCAAACTCAAGCTTCGTGTAGAACTGGTCCAAGGGTCAAGAACAAACAGATGAGATAGGATTTTTTCTTGAGATTTCTAACATTTGCAGGATGTATTGGATGGAGTTCACCCATCTTCCTCCCAACCACCGGGCACCGTGGCGACCGCACAGGCGCTCGGTGCAGCCCTGGCGGCGGCGGAGGCGGCGAAGCTGGACGAAGCTCCAGAGGTCGCCAGGTGCGTGGGGAGGGGCGAGGGACCGGGGAGTACTGGGCGACACTGGGTGGGGAATGGAGTAGTCCAGAGCAAGAGGGAAGGACTACGGAGTATGTATTTAAAGTTATCTTTTCGTTTTATCATATAATCAGAAACGATCCTCCAAAACTCCTGGGGAGTTTTTGGGGGTTGGATTCTTCTTTTTGAATCAGTTACATCCAGAACGGATGGTGTGGGATGTTATGGGGCACGCCATGGGGGATGGATGCCATGGGGGATGTATATTTATTGGTCTTCAGGGTTGCAACAAATCTGGTGTTGTTATGTTACAGTGTTTGTTTGGCGCAACAAACACACAACGTCACACCATGTTTTTTTGTTGTTACAATAGCTTTGTTGATGCATCACAGACAAAGCTTGATCCACCATCCTGCGAGTGCGTAAGGAGCTCAGGCCAGGTCCATGAGCATGGACCAACAGGAAACCAAGGGGTAGGTCATGGTAGGTCTGTTATCCTGGAGTTTCGCTCTTTGATTCTCATAAAGAGGATAATTCTAAGAATCTATAAGATGAGATCACTCCCCGTTGCAAAACAATCAACAGAGAAAACACACGAACACAATCTATTTTGAGGCTGTCCTGAAACCGGACAGGGCAGCTGTCCATCGAACGGTGAACAGTTCGTTTTGCTGCGCAGGGTGGCAGAAAAATGCAGAAAAAGCGCGCGGGGCAGGTGTCGGAAGCGTGTACAAGATCTGAAGCTCCAGATGCCTCTGTGCGAGGCGAGACGGGGCGCAGCGTTCACCGCAGCCGATCTCGGGAAGGAGGTAGCACCATGGGCCACTGTGCGTCAAAACAAGTCACCAAAAGCAGGGGAGACTGAGAGAGCAACATGCTTTTGCTATAATTACATTGAAAATTGCTATGATGAAAGCTTTGTCCAACATACAGTGACTGAAATGGGCAAGACGACCAGGACCTGCCAATTGCGGTAGTTATGACATATTGTGGCACTTTCCAGGGAACTTGCATGCGGCATAGGCGAAAACCAAGGCTTAAGGCAGCCACGATATATACAGAATTCGCAGGTGTATAGCTTAAAACTCCCTTGAAATCTTTTTAGGTCGGAGGTCGGAAATTGGAAGACCCTGTTCTCACCACGGAAGCTTTTCCTTGTTCTCCTGCACCAGTAGTTATGCTTTCCTCCCGAGCTAAAGGGTTGAGGTTGTTGGAAAAGAATTCAGCAGAGAGATGGACGTGGATGACGGATGCATAGATCTCGAACTTGAACTCGAATTTGAAGCCGCAGCGTCCAGGCCATGCGAGCTGTGCTGGGCTCCAAAGACATACCCCAGGCGCGGCAGCTGCTCCAAATGCTTCAGCAGGCACGAAGGAGAGGGGAGGTGTCAGTGAGAACCAGGAGTCCATCTGTTTGGAACCCATTGTTGGGAGTGTACTTTTCGGAGAAGCAGCAAGCTCATTCTCTCAGTCAGTCAGACCTTCTGATGATATTTCCAAATACGACGGTGTCATTTCTTTTAGATCCCTGTCAAGTAGCACCCTTGCCAGCTTCCCAGCCCAAAATAATCACTGCACTGGGACGATTGACGTTTGCGCAATTCTCAGACAGACCCATTTGGAGACGAAGCCAACGAATAAGTGTGATGTAGAACCGAAGCTGAACACAGAAGTGAATATACTGTAGATATCTGTAGATGAACCAGCATAGTTTGCTTTGTTTTGCTGCCCTTTCACATTGGGATGTCCTATTCTTGTTTGAGGGCACACACCTTCTGAAGCCGTCCAACCAGTTCAAGTGAACATTGGTAAGTCAGTGCTTTAAGTTGTAGATGCTACGGGTCAAACTTCAAACCTCTTGTGAGAGCCGGACAGCCGCGTCCTCTGTGCCGCGAGCCGCAGCCTTTTGTCGGCGCGCCGCGTAGGCGGGCTTGGAGCCGGACAGCCCCACGTGGCTGGCTGATCTCCAGGGCGGTCAGTTGCAAGCGCAGTTGTTGGAGCTCGTGGAGGCCGTCACACCACTGGTGACGCGCGGTAACGCGGGGTAAACTGGTCAACGCGGCAGGTGCAGTGACGCATGGCACAGCGGCTCCTCAGGAGCAGCTGTTCATTTTGGTTTTGGATTGACCTGTCCAGGCTTATCTTCTGGCCGCCACGGGGGGCTAGCAGAAGAGATCAGAAGTATAATAGTCTTAGTACTATAGATCTACTACAAAGTGGTCGTCTAGTGCGAACCGGGGATGGTGATGATTTGCAGATCGATCATGAATGCCTAGGGCTGCAGGTCCAGGCTGCATCAACAGCATACACTTGATGGCTGATGGACAGGAACATCGGACGATGTCGAACGGTTCAGGGGTTCCATTGAGCTTTATCCACCAAGATCCACTTCATGTGGACTGTTGATTAAAACAAAACAACACCTTTCAACATTGGATTGCAAAACCTCTTCACAGGGGGTCTACAGTCTAGAGTCTACATCTCAAGTGTCATCGTCTTGTGACAGGTGAAAGCGAAAGCACCAAGACGAGAGTCTCAAGAAGACCTCTTGGTCTCAGGGATCTTCATTGTGTCGACCTCTTTGGGGGAACACGAAGACATCCACAAGACGTCGGGGCTTTCACATGCTCAAGCGGCGGGTTTTGCGTTCTTTTTTGCTGGGTGTCCAAAGCCCAGGATTCCGACACACAATAAAACAAAGGCAGGCATCGAAACATGCTGACCCTTCCAGGCGGAGCAACGCCGCCTGCAGCGTCTCCAAGACGCCTTGCGCGCGCAGCGCGGCCTCGTCGCCGCCGCCGCCGCG